TTTCTGTGTCCAATGAGATAAAGCCCAAATTTGGGATTTTTTTTTTTTTTTTTTGATGCCAGTTTGGCCATTTCTGTGCCCAATGAGATAAAGCCCAAATTTGGGCTCTTTTTTCATTTTCCATTGTCTTGGGTTGGCGGGCCCAGGGGGTGGTAGGTGGGATATAAATGGGGTTAAAAGGGGTTTTAAGGTGTGTGCGCTGGGTTTATTCCCGTTCGTTGTCCTCTTCTCCCTTTCTGCCTACAGTTTACCGGGCAGTTCTGTTTGACGATATGCCGTCGGCAGAGAGGGAGGGAGAGGAGGACAAGAAACGAGGGGGCTGTGACAAACTGTTGCGTCGGAGTTTCACCGACTGACTCATCAGGAGGAGGCTGAACCCTCTAAAAAACAGTCTGCAGAATCCCCTAACTGACTGATTACACTGTAAGTGATAATCCACCTTAACCCCGGTTGTGGTTAAGCATCAACGGCTGCCCGACAACTGATACCCTGAGGTGGTGGGGACCACCAACCACTGTTTTTTTCCAACTTCTCTTGCGTTGTTTAATTTTAATAAATATCAATGAATCTTCCACGAACGTACTTTGGATCCTTCGGTGGGCCTGTGTGCAAGATGTGTGCCTTTATTTTTATGACAAATCGAACCTTGACACATGGCATTCCGGTAGACATCGCTCACAGGCTCGAGTTTATCGACATCATGATGCAGTACCTTCGCTGCAATGTTTTCATGTTATCCTATCGTGGGTGAGTAAGATGGTGTTCTCTCTCTCTCTCTCTCTCTCTCTCTCTCTCTCTCTCTCTCTCTCTCTCTCTCTCTCTCTCTCTCTCTCTCCCTTGCTCTCACCTGTTCTCTTTCTCTACGAGTCGCTTTTTCTCCCATTTCACTTTTGTCATAAGAGCGTAGAGGGTCTCGGGGATAGTGGTCAAGCATGCCTTATTTGGAAAGTATTACCTTGTCAGGAAATTATGCAGCCGGATACAGTCCTCAAATGTGCCATGGGTCCAGACTGGAGTGCTTTTTTCTGTTCTTTTTCAAATTTCAATTCTATTTTTATTTTTTAATATGGGGCAATCCTGACTTATTTATATGGGGTTCGTCTAGCATGGGGTTAGGCAGGAATGCACTTGTATATATTGCCAAAAAGGTTTGTCTCACAGAGAGCGAGAGAGCGAGAGAGCGAGCGCGTGCGCGCGCGCGCGCGCGAGAGAGAGAGAGAGAGAGAGAGGGCCTGGTGAGTTGTTGTGCTGTTGGAATACTGTCTGCCATCTTACAGGACAATTTTACTCGCAACAATTGTTTGTCATATGGTGTGGCATGAAAGTGTCTGCCAGCAATTTATCTCTGCAATCTATCTTATCACTTCTGGTCCTGATTGTGGTGGGATCATGTCTGCAGCTACGGTGCCAGCGATGGATCCCCATCGCAGTGGGGATTAACTCAGGATGCGCAGGTTAGTTTTCCTTTGTTTTGTTTTTCAAATGAACTTCCAATTGTCGTTCACATAATTCAATAAATGCCATTTGTTTATAGTACTTTATACATTGAGCGTTTTTTTTTTTCTTTCCCTGCAGCCTCACTGTTCATTTCTTAGACAGGTCCGCTTATGGCTCAAGTTTCAAGAACCTAACACTTCGTGTCGGTCCATCAGAAGCCTCTGTCTTATTCTTCTGTGTATCATATATGCCAACGTTTTCTTTTTGTTTTTTTGCCCAAGAAATCTTGTGGCTTGTTGCGTTTACGAATCATTCTCTTTTATGTTACTTTCATGAAGTCTCACGTAATTGACATGAAAGATGTTGTTTGTTTTTTTTTTTTTTTTTTTTGACATGAAAGACGTATTGTTACCCCAGAGCAAATCTGCACGCATGCATGTGTGTGCATGCATGTGCTTGCATTTGTGCGTGTGTGTGTGTGTGTGTGTGTGTGTGTGTGTGTGTGTGTGTGTGTACAGGCCTGGTTTGCAGCGTCGACAAATTTATTCATGATGATCCTAATGTCAGAGGTTGGGGTAGCTGGAAAAAGCTTTTTTATTTTATTTTATTTTATTTTATTTTAATTTAGGAAATGGTGATCATCTAGTTCCAACTGGACTCCAACTGAGGTCTGTGTTCGAACAGTTTATAACTTTATAGGTGTTTCAACGGAGATATTCCTGATGGGTAGATAGTGTTGGTTTAATGACTGTTGTGTAGTCTTTTAGGAACATTTAGCTGAATGTTTTCAGAAGTTTTTTTTTTTTTTTTTTTTTTTGGTTCATTTCTCGATTTATGCGTGTGATCCTTGCGCAGGCAGGGTCCATGCTAATCTTCTTTCGCTGTATCATTCCAGTTTTTTAACGGATGTCCCCGAAGGACAGAAGAAGTGGTTTGGCAACGGACAAATCCTAAAGACCTACCAACGGGCCTAGCTCATTTGGTACACCCCCTCTGAACTGTTGAAATATGATTTAGACCCAAGTTCGAATCCAGATACCTTCAGATGGAAAGAATAAGATCATTATCATCATTATGAATTGCCTGGGGCTGGTCAGTTCAATTATGGTATCTAAAGGCCGTGAATTGCCTGGGGCCGGTCAGTTCAATGATGATATCTAAAGGCAGTCACCCTTTCAAAAAAAGCGGAAAAAGAATCCTAAACACCTATTATTCAATAGCTCACAAGAAACATCTCACAGCACTTGATGCAAATCGCATATGACCGGCAATTTTATATTATTAATAATTTAGTATTAAATTACTATTAATATTATTTTTAACAACCGGCAAATCTTAGCGATTGGACATCGCGAATGCTTTGGACGCCCTAAGAAATGCTTTGCAAGGGTATAGTAACTATAGTTCGAAGTTGGAACATTGCTTCTTCTTCTTCTTCTTTCCTTTTTTTTTTTTTTCTGTTTTTTTTCTTTTCGAAGTGCTAACGTTGCTCTTGGGTGCTTGGTAATGTTTTAAGGTTTCACCTTTTTTTTTTTTTTTTTTTTAATTATGATGTTTTAAGTTGTAACCTGGGCTGCCAGCTGTGCAAGGTTCGGGCGAGAGGTCCCAGGCAGCCCCGACACTTTTTTTCGGGCGAGGTTCCAGGCTGCCTGATCGCCAGGCCAGGATCAGTCCTGCAAATACCTTGACTGAGATGCGTCGCATACCCTTAACTAAACCCATACCCTTAACTAACCAAGCGTCCAAGTCTTCAAGCATCAAGGTCCAATCCTTTTTTGTTTTGTGTGTGTGTGTGTGTGCATGTGTGTGTATGTCTGTGTGCGTGTGTGTGTGTTTGTGTGTGTGTGNNTTTGTGTGTGTGTGTGTGTGTGTGTGTGTGTGTGTGTGTGTGTGTGTGTGTGTGTGTGTGTGTGTGCAGGCTGCACTTGAACATCTCTTAGCTAGAGATGACATTGATCAGAAAAGAATAGCTGTATTTGGACGTTCGCTTGGTGGCGCTGTTGCGGTTCAGTTGGTGAAAAATAATCCTGGCAAGGTGAGGATCATCTTTCTCCAGTGTCTGTTCCATTCCTCCTCCCTCAACATCCCTCCTTACCTTTCAGCCGTCTATACGCCAATCCCTCTGTCTATCCCTTTGAGTCCCTCTTGGTCCTCTTCTGTGTATCCCTCTATCCCTGCACCCTTGTGTCTATCCCTGTCCCTTTTGCCTTTCGGTCCTCTTCTGTTGCTTGCCCTCTTCCTCTAGGCATTGCGACCCCCCTCTGAGTTTGTTGTGATGTCTACTGTGCCCAACTCCACAAAGACAAGCATGACTAAGCTGAACTCTTTTGCCAGACTTTCACTGACTCATGAGTAGGTTGAAGTTTGACTGTCTGCCCAGGATGCATCTGATTGATGGATGAAGACTCGCCACGGCGCCCAGAGTTAGTGATGCCCCTAGGTATCATCGTTGTTGAGGGCCCATGTCGAATTGTCCGTGTGGAGGTTGATTTCGTCGGACTTTCACCGACTTTTCGTGCATGCGTGTGTGTAGATGTGCGCAAAACACATTTTCGCTTGAACCCAGCATGGTACCAAACCATGCACCATACCATCGCAACTCCTCAGGAGGACAATACGCATCTGAGGGAGTCGAGTCAGAGAACAGCACCCGAAGCGACACAACCATCGGACTTTCACCGACTTGTCGTGCGCGCGTGTGTGTAGATGTGCGCGAAGCACATTTTTGCTTGACCCCAGCATGGTACCAAACCATGCACCATACCATCGCAACTCCTCAGGAGTACAATACGCATCTGAGGGAGTCGAGTCAGAGAACAGCCCCGCAAGCGACACAACCAACCTGGGCAAACCCAGCAAGACTGGCAGAGCACTTGCCAGGCACCAAGCAGCAAGCCAAAAGGAAGCAGGCCGAAGAACTAAGCAGCACGCAGCAAGGCCAAAGGCAGGAGGGGGGCATGCATTGAACGACGAGTGAAAGCAAAGCACAAAGGCAGGAGGGCACGGGGGAGGCGGGTGGGCAGACAAACAGGATGAAGCAGCGAAGGCTAGAGGGCACAGGGGAGGCGGGCAGGCAGACAATCAGCACACAGCGAGGCAAACAGCACAAGGCAGCAAAGCGCATAGGCTGGGGGGCATGGGGGAGGKGGGTGGGCAGGCAAACAGCCCAAGGCAGCAAAGCACAGAGGGTGGAAGGCATGGGGGAGGCAGGTGGGCAGGGAGACGACGCCAGGTAGCAAGGAGAACGACAGCGGGCCAAACAACAACAAAGCAAGAGCAGCAATCAAAAGATGTACAAGTATGACAAGAAAGACAAAGACTGAAAGAAGTGAAAACTGATGAAGATTGTTTTGTCGGAGTCGCACTGACTCCTCAGGATGCTGAACCCTAGACAGTCTGTGGAATCTCCATATTGATGGTTTGGGTCATGAACCCTTTTGACCCATGTTGAAGGCAGAGTGTCCCCAGGGCCCAAGCGGAACATAGCAGCTGGCCGCAACTCAGCAAAGCATCAGGCGATGTTGCCGAGGCAACACAACTGCACAATGCCAAAAAACACTGCAAGGAATGACAGGGCAAGCAGACGAGCAGCACAGCAATCGCGCAGTGAAGCACAAGGCAACACCAGCAAGGCAGCCAAACTACATGGTACACAAGCAAAGGACACAGAAGGCACGGCATGCAGATGGGCGGCAAGGCAGCAGAGCAGTGAGCCCAAGGCAAGACCGACAGCACGGCCGCACCACGGAGTGAATGGAGCAGCTTGCAAAGAACAACCTGCGAAGCGAGCGGGTCGGGCAGCAAGGCAGCAGTGGAGCGCAGACAAGGCAGTCGACACGTCCAACACAGAGCGAAGTGGCACACCACCTACTCACATCACGGGTGAACTGCACAGACTGTTGGCTCCCACCACTCGCTGAGCCAGGGAGTCACTGCGACTAACATCCATCATCGCCCGCAGGGCGACACCCTGAACTGAGCAGCCCCCCTAAGAGTGCTGCATGCACTCCAAACGAGGAACGAACAACTATTTCGCATTGGTTAGAGATGCTCAGCTGGACACACGAAAAGTACTCGGAAAAATTCGAAGAAAACATACAAGAAGGGGGAAAAAAAAATACATATAACTGATTGCGTGTCTTTGTTTGTTTGTTTGTGTGTGTGTGTGTGTGTGTGTGTGTGTGTGTTTGTGTGTGTGTGGGGGGGGGGGGGGGGGGGTGGGGGGGGTGGGTTGTGGTGGTCCAACACTTTGTTTTCCGCGTGACTTGTTGTCTGCTTAGGTATCGGTAGTGATTCTGGAGAATACGTTCACGTCTATTTTGGAGATGGCGGGCATTATGATGCCTTTCCTGAAGCATGTGATTGGCCACCGCTGGAAGCCGCTCAACTTCCTTGTGAGGAGCCAGTGGAGATCGCTTGATGCAATCGAACAGGTGAGCATTCCCTTTTCCACATAAAAGGGAAGATAAATATGGGACGCTGGACCCGCTTTCCAGCGGGTGAAGCTCCCCCACCAATAGATGGAGCCACCCCCCCAGTGCTAGTAGTGTCTGCTCGTACCAGCACTACTAGGACAGGAGAGTGTTTTCATTAAGAACAAACAAGAAAAAAAAAAGGAAAGAAAAAGAAAAGAGTGTAAACCAGGTTCAGGGGGCAGTGTGTTCGGCGGAAGACAGTACTGTGACAAGTGCGGCCGATTCCGACGGAGCAGGCTCGGGAGCACCGGCGATTTTTAAAGAAGCCTGGCGAATTTGTCAAGGTTGCCTGTCTGAGTGTGTACTCGCACTTGTACTTTCCTAAATGAATTTGGCCGCAATTACAGCCAGACCCAGATGAATCTGACTGCAATCACGTCCAGAGCATAGTAGAAAAAAGTCCTAGTGGAAAAAAGAAGAAAAAAAAGAGGAAAAGAAAAGAAAAGAAAAAGTTCAAAAAGAAGAGAGAAAAAAAAAAGTCCTAGTGTGAGCATGTGCTCAGTCGAACTTACCTTCTTTTTTTTTTTTTTTTTTTTTTTCCCTTAAACTTACCTTCTTTGATCTGTATCTGATCTCGAATTTCATCAGAGCCTACTCACATGACCGCGTTCACACTGGATAGAATGCCTGGTCATGAAAGCTTTATTTGGGGCAACTTTCAGTCCAGATACAGGGATAATGACCGAGCGTTCTATTCTGGGGAAGACGGAAGGACTTTGTACACTGGGTTTGGGTTGGGTGTATTGGGGCAACTTTCAGTCGAGATACAGGGATAATGACCGAGCGTTCTTATACGACACCTACCGAACAGTCGTTCCAAGAACACTCTAGTTAGAGAAGATGCTCATCTTTTTTCTTTCCTTTTTTTTTTGTCATTTTCATTTTAAATACGACGTCGGCCTTGAGATGTCACCATGGACTGACCGGCCGCAGAAGCGGCAATTGAAAATTGTATTCTTCTGTTCATCTGGTTGCATCTGGATTTGAATTCCGGTCCGTATTTTGAAAGTTCACCGGTGTACCAACTGAGCTCGGCCCGTTGGTAGGATGCTCTTCTTGTGTTGAGGCCCGTTTGGTTTCCCTCTGGATATCTTGCTGATCGATAGCCTTTTGAGGCTCCACCACCCTTTTTTCCATTTTAGGAAAACATTGCCCTCCTTATCAAATCGACATTATAGGATAGTCGTGCTGGCCTGGCCTCCGTAAAAGGGGTGGTCACAGGATGCCCAGTTTCAGGAGTAGTTGCATGGGATTAGAACGGAGGGAATCGGCGGAGAATAGTGCAGACATCAGCTCCTATGTGTAGCAAGGAGCAGGGTGGGTCAAAATACCAACAGAACGAAACACGAAGTGGACAAGGCTGCAAAGGTCCATGATGCCCCCCCCCCCCCCCCCCAATCTCCTCCTCTATAACGTGAGGCACATAGTCTGGTTTGCTTGCTGATGTCATGGAACGATACAGAGAAGATTAGCATGGACCCTGCACATGGATGACACGCATAAATCGAGAAGATTAGCAAGGCCCACGCCTTAAGGATGGCATGCACAAGTCGGAAAAAGAAGGAAAAAAAAAAAGGGAAAAAAAGAAAAAAAAGAAAAGAAAAGAGAGAGACTTGACAGCTGCTGGAGTGAATCTGCAATGATTCTGCATGGGTGAGAGCGTTGTCTGACAACTTCACATTGACTGTTTTCCGTTGGGCTTGCTCCATGGCATAGCATTCTATATGTATCTGGAGACTGTAATGGCTACGCTAGATTCGAAGTATTTGATGAGAGTTGGATGTATCTGGTCCATTTTGCAGTCAAGTGTTGAGTAGTGGACCGAGCTCCATGGATAGGTGTCTTTGGAGCTAGGCGTACGCTATGTATGCTATGTACGCGCCGAACGCACGCGTACATAGTGTACTATGGGCACCCGCGCATACAACGCAATTTTTCCACAAAAAATTGAAAAAAAAAGGTTTTTTTAATTTTAATTTTTAAGTTTTGGTAGAGGATCGGGGATGCGTCACCGACGCGGGGTCAGACTCCCAAACTCGACCAGGGCGTATAAAGCCCTGTAACCCCGTTTGATGCTTATTGTACCCCCCACATAGCCCCCTTGTACACCCCTTACACGCTCTGTGCACCCCCGTTATAACCCCCTTACACTCCGCCTTATACCACCCTTGCACCCCGCTTAAAGCCCGCATCCCGTATTATACTCGCCTTACGCAATCCCTTGTACCCCCCGTGCACCACCCTCGCCTAACCCACACCCCACTTTATACCTTCACCCCTCCCCAGCCCCCCTATACCAACCCTTGCACGACACTCACACCTCGACTTGTACCCTCCCC